ACTAACCAATTGCACCAACTAGTGCTTTAGAAACTTTCCTCTTGTTTTTTAAGGCTTTGATCCCTGATTAGAAGTCAACACCCTTGCCAAGGCTGGCGTGTTGAACTGCCATCCGTCACCCTGTGTCTGTGGAAGATTTGATAGGAGAGTCTTGGACTCCTGAAGAGGGAGAGAGGACCCACATGAAGCGCAGCCCAGGGCATCGATTGACAGACCCGAAGGGACCCTGGGGTGTGCTTGAGGCTTACGTAGTTCAGATTGGTGTGTGCCTGGGGATGCACTCCTGGCGGACCTCTTCTGTGGCTGTGTGTTCCGTTCCTCCCTCTGTGGGATATGCCTTGGGCCTGGTCAAGCCTGCTTCTCCCTCATTGTGATTGCAAAGGGTCAGGACTCCGCATTGACTTCTCCTGCTCTTGGTTCCCATTCCTCAACTCCTCCCTCTCCTCTCCCTCTCTCCACATCTGCCCTCCCTCCAGGGTCTTGCCTTCTCTCCAGCTCTCCTTGCCGGCCTCTCTTTGCACCTCTGCCGGGACTCCTCGTTGTGGGTGTTCCAGGATTTGAGGACATTGAGCTCTGTCCTGAATCACGCGAACTGCAGACTCACCCTCTCATGGCAGTAATGGGGTCTTCAAAAGGTTCTTGGAAAATGCACATTATGAAAAAGACCATGCATGGATTTCAGACCTTTTTGAAACGAAGATAAACTCACATATCAGTTCCATTTTCCACAGCCTTTTAGAAGTCCCCTCAGATACGCGATCTCTGTCTCTTGAGAAACCTAGCATTTCCCAAAGTGGGTCCAGGGAAGCAGTGTGATCTATGAAATATGAAATGGGCTTTTGGAATTAAAGGGTAGGAAACGAGGGCTTTGTGATTTAAACCACAGGCCTCTGCAGAGCTTTCATTTACAGATGTTGGTCTGGAGTTCCAGTGAGGTGTTCCTCAGCCTTCCTTCCACCTGTTTCTCATCCTGGGGGCCAGTGCTCTGCAGACGGAATTGCCAAGTAGGTTGTGAGGACTGTCCGAAGCTCCGGAAGCAGGGAAAGCCGGCCCCCTCTGCAGATCCTCCTGTTAGCTAAGGGCAGCACTGGGCAGGTTGTAAGTAACTTCCAAATGAACTCTTGGGACACTTGTTTGGTTTTGTAAAAAGATCTTTTCTTGTGGTAATATTCACCATTCAAACCATTGTATGTGTGAGAGAGCACGAGCGAGCGAGAGCGCGTCTCAGCAAGAGAGAGTCGGAGAAAGAGAGGAAGGGGGAAGGAGAGAAGTATTTTGGACAGATCTTGCCACATGGCAGTCCTTCCTGCCCGAGCCTCCCAGGTAGCTAGGATCACAGGCACGTACCACCAGACCCAGGCGGTTTAGGGTGGGCTGGGAAATGAACCTGGGCCTCCTGTTAGCCTCAGCCAATATCCTGAGTACACCTGTGGCTGGGCCATCATTTTAACTATTTCAAAGCAGGTGATGGAGTGGCATTTAGTATGCTCCAGTGTTGTCCAGCCTTTACCATCTAGTTCCAGAACATTTCACCACTCTGGAAAGAAGCTCTATACCCAGCAGCAATGACTCTTCATCCCCTCTCCTCCCACCCCCCGAAACCTACAGATTCATGGCTTTTTGCGTGTGGCTTCTTTCTTTAATGAAGGTTTGATACAGATACAAGGTCTTAGACCTGGATGATGCTGCTATTCCTCCTTAGCTGTTCTTCCTCATTGGCCAAAACCCATAAATGTACAAGCAACAAAAAGCAGTCATCCGTTGAAACCGCCAAGTCACATTGCCGGGTTAAAAATACTGCAGAATTCTGTAGAAAATGGTCAGTAGTGTGGTGGCCATTGCCATGACTTGACCTGACATTTCAGGAAGTTCCCTTGAGTCCTGCAGGTTTATGCCAGGCCTTGAGCCCCTACTTGGAGGGGACTGAGCTGCTGGCACACCTCTTTCTAGTTGGAGGTTTTGTCATTTCAGGCTACTCGTCATTTAGGGACCATAGAACATTCTAGAGTAAGTCGAATCTGGCAAGGACATCTGGAGAGAAGACTATGCTAAACACTGTCAGGCAGAGCCCTTACTGGTCCTGAACCTGAGGACTCACGTGAAAATTGGATGTCTGGCCTCTCCATCTCATGTCTTGGAATTCCTGGGGGGCACCGTACCCCTCACTTGCTGCAGAGACAGTTGCTTGGCAGCTCTTCAGCACCCTGTGCTCAGCAGTGGTAACCCATCGTCTGCCTTCAGGGCTTGTTCAACCCCCTCCACGTTTTCCATTGAATTGCTGAGGTGCTCTCACCTCTGGGCTCTCTACTGCTTGCTGTGTCTGGCATCTGAACCTACCACTGTTTGAAGGTGTGTTACTCATCTGCATAAAATAACTGTTTTCAGCCTATTCTAGTTTTCAAGCCTTTCTCTTTCTTTCTCAGTGTAACCTGTGACCCCCCTCATAGCAATCGGGCTGGCCTCATTCCTCTTGCCTCTCAGCCTCTCTTAGCAAGTCCTCGCTGGGCTTGGAATTACTCCTTTTACCCTGACCAGTCTAACTCTTCCTTCAAAGCTTACTGAAGCTTAGCAGCTGCATAAAGCCTTCTCAGACATTCTAGCAATGTCTTTTTTTTTTTTTTTTTTTTTTCTTTTTTTTTTTTTTTAAGAGAGGTATTTTTGCTTTGGGGCGCATGCGCTTGCTGGAGAGAGACAGAAAGTGAGAAATCAGCCCCTAGGGGAGATGGCCACCTCATAGTCCCTTCTCCTCCATCCTCCTCTCGGGATTTTGGGCACACACGCATGTGCGCTTGGTGTAAGTTTAAAGTCACCAGGTTCAGGACTCAAACCACAGTTGACCATATGGAAGTCCAGCAACGTAACCACTACACCATCTGTTGGCCGCTCTAGCAACTCTTAGACCTGCACCAAACTCATGTTGCATTTTGAATACCACAAAAGTTACAGCTAGAATTTTTTTTTTTTTTTTTAAGATTGTATCACTTAGTCCGTCCCCTCCCGCCCTACTGCTCTGAATCAGATGGTCAGCTCTCAGAGGAAGGGACTCTACGGTAAGCTGGTAAAATGGGAAGCCACCAGACTCAGTTTAAGGGCCAGATCACTTCTGGGTGTACCACTTGCTAGCAGTGTTGTCAGAAAAGCCACTTATCTTGACTTTACATTCTCATCTATAAAACAAGTGGGTGTATTTGTCCCTTGTTGGCTGCTAAAACAAGTAACCGCCTACTTGGTGACTTAAGACAACACAAATTTATTCCCTTACGGTTATGGAAGTCAGGTGTGCAAAATGGGCCTGCAGGGCTGATCCCTTCTGGAGGATCTATGAGAATCCTTTCCCTTATCTTTGCAGCCCCTGGAGACTGCCCACCTTCCTTGACTAATGGCTCCTCCTGTATCTTCGAAGCCCATGACTCTAACCCTTGCTTCTGTCATCCGTCCTCTCTGTGTCTCTCAAGTCTCCCTCTTTACTTTTTAAGGACCCCATGACTACTACATTGAGCCCACTCAGATAATCCAGAAATCTCCCCATCTCAAACTTAATCACACTTTGAAAGTTTTCTGTGTGTGTAAAGTAATTTATTCACAGGTATCGGAGGTTAGGACATAGATGCCTTTAAGGGCTGCATTTAGGGCTCCTGTGTTCCATGTTAGAGAACATGCCATGACTAAAGACGTAATTCTTCCACTTCTCTGAGAGCTTAGTGCACAGGGTCCCAGGCTCATCAACTTTTTGGTAAGTTACATTTATCTATGAGGATTTTTTTCCTTCTCTTACTGCTGTTAGGGATTCTGGGGCCTGATACAGTTCAATGATAGAATGGTAAATGCGAACTTTAGGCTCGTTCTGATTTTGTCTTCCACTCACTGCACTTTCATGTGTGAAAATACAGCAGTGCCCGTCTGTCCACCTTTGATTTCATGTTTTGCCAAGTTTGCAAAGACCTCAAAGGATTCCAACTGTTTCCCAGTAACCAGGGTTAGTCTTTTTTAAAGAGTCTGCTACCTATGCTGGTGATTCTGCTGTCTTTCTCATGGCCTCTCCAGAAAGTCCCGGATGTGTTTCCAGGGCCTCTGTGTCAGTCAAAGTAGACGTGTCATTAAGGTTCAGAAGCCAGCCCTGGATGCCCACCTAGGTTGTCTTATCTATAGTTGCTACTTAACGTTGACTTTGTGGTATTTCCTGGCAGTTTAGATCAGCATTTATAGGAGAGTTATGCTATTTCTTTCTCCTCTGCATCCTATCAGGTGGGTCCCACCTTTCGCTGACTACCACTTAGAAAGCAGTGTGAAACCACCCCCAAAATATATTTAGAGTGACTCCTTTGTGTTCTCCTTAGCACTCCAGTCATTGTGCTCAAACAGGCTTCACCACGGATTGAAAAGCTGTACCCCTTCAGGCCAGCAGGTGGTGTGGTGGTTAAGGGTACTGGACACTCACATGGCCGACCGTGGTTCAAGTCACAGATCTGGCATCTTGCTTTCTTTCTCATGAGTGGTCTCTCTCTCTCTCATGTACACGCTCTCTGCCCTACTCTGGTCAAATGAAATAAGTTAAATAAAATAATTCTTTTTTTTTTTTTTTTTTTTTTGGAGAGGTTTTTGCTATAGGGCCGAGAGAGACAGAGAGACAGAAAGCGAAAAATCACCCCCCAGGGGGGATGGCATGCTGCAATCCCCTTCTCCTCCATTCTCCTCTCGGGATCTTGGGCACGCACACACACGCGCCTGGCATGAGTTTTAAGCTACCAGGTCGACTACTTGGGAGTCCAGCGACATAGCCATTACGCTAGCTGTTGGTTCCCAATAAAATAATTCTTAAAAAAAAAGAAAGAAAGAAAGAAAGAAAATCTGTACCCTCCCCCCCCAAAATTCTGTTTTGAAGCTACGTTTGGTCATTGAGTTTGAGAAATGTGTAACATGAAAGC